GAGGGCCTGCAGGTACCAGCACTACCTGGGTTCCATGCCCGCTCCACTGAGGCTCAGTTCTGGCTTTAAAGCAGGGCTCTTACTGATTTCCAGGAAAGAGGGGAGCAGCGGTAACGAGCAGGGCGCCCACAGCAGCGTGGGCATGCACAAGGCCCAGCCAGCCACGGGCCCCTCTGTCCTTCTCTTTCTAGGTCACATTTCAGCTTCCCTTCTGGCCAGACAGGAAGGGTCCAGAAGGCAACACCTAGAGGTGTTAGCAGCCCAACAGCCTGCTCCTGCTAGGGGGGAACTGAGGTGCCAGGTAGGTGGTACACGCCAGACAAAGCTTGTCACCGTTCAGTTCGTACGAGGGGTGTCCGGTTTCCATTAATACACAAGCCTGGCTCCAGGGGAGCAATCACCCACCTTTGTCACCAGGAAGGACATCCAGGATCAACACCTGGGAGAGGCCATGAGGCACGAAGGTCTTGGAAAGCCCAAAAGTAAGATGGCCCTGGGAGTCACTGCGGGTGACACGATGTGGGAAGCTGGGGGCAGCAGTGTGGTGGTGGGGCAGTGCGAGGAGCTGCTGGCGGCTAAGAGCACGGAGCGCCCAGCACTTCCTGGCCTAGGAAGGCCAGTGCTTCTCCTGCAATCCGTCCTGGGAGACAGGCACTCCTGCCGTGCTCATCTTAGCCTAGGAAGATGGCCTAACTGCAGTGGTTCAGTTGGTGACAAGCAGGGCCAGCACCCAAGCCCTATGGTAACTGTCTCTTCTTCACAAGGAACCTTTCTGTGCCAAAATGCTCATTCCAGGAGTCCCAGGCTGCAAGATCAGCCTGCATTTCCTCCGAGCTACGGACCCTTGGGCTGCTGATTTATCAGGACAGGAGGACACCTGCTGCAGTGTCCAGACAGCATAGAATTAAAACCATCCACTGCCCTGCACATAATTCATCTCTCTCTGTGCCCATTTAGTTTTCAAAGGTAAGCGAGAACCAAGTAAAGTCTGTCACGCTTCCGCACTCACAGATTCCAGCTCAGACTTCTGGATGGATGTCTAAGTGACTAAACAAAGCCCTCAAATCCCAAGGCTGGGTGTGGCTTAGGGGTAGAGAGGTTCAGGCCCAAAGCCCTAGGTTTGATCCCCACCATTGAAAAAAAAAAAAATCCCAAAACAAACACAGGCAAACCCTCCACACAACAACAACAATAAAAAAACTTCAGGAGAAAAAAAAGAAAGAAAAAGTGAGAGAAAGAAAAAGAGAAAGAAAGAAAAGAAAAAGAAGGAAACGAGAAAGACAGAAAGAACACGCCATTTCCAAGGACCTTTCTAAGCAGGAAAGAGGAACTAGCTTTGACCTGGAGCCCTGTTCGGGTTACCATTTAGTTTGTCTAGTTACAGATTTTCTCCCCTGCATCAGGATAGAGGGCAGGGAAAAGGCAGGACACCTCTGTGGGTCAGAAGCTTGTGTGGCAGCAGCGTGTGTTTGGGCATCGGCCTTGGGTAGGTGCTCCACTGGCAGTTTGGCTGCACATGGACTGTGGAGGAAGTGGGTGGTCAGAGGGTGTAGGTGTCCATTCTGGGGTGGGGACTCTTTCACGCCAAACAGGTGGTGGTTTTCTTTAAGCGCTGCAGACTGAACCCGGCCAAGCAAGCAGTCTACCACTGAACTACGCCCACCCGCCTCTCACTTTTGTTAGCCATGGTTCAGAACAATATAAGCACGAAGACGTGGCTTTAATGAGCCATGCTGTGACAATTGTGGCACCTGCTAATAGCAGCAGATGTGCACCTCTCAGGTTGACAGAATTCCTGGCTGGTGCTTAGGGTGAGAATAACCAGCGGGAGACAGAAGTCTCCAGGGAACGGGGAGGGGATATGACAAGGAACAGAGATAACATTAAATGGCCAAGCAACGCTGGAGATTTCTAATTCCATTTGTGATATGTACAGATCAGGTGAATCTATAGGGACAGAAAATAGATTAGGGGTTGCCTAGAGATGGGGATTTAAGCATAAGAAGGGACGCCACTTCTTTTCAGGGTTAATAAGGAGTTCTAACACTGCTGATTGCTGGTGAACTCTGAATAATGCCAAGTCACAGAACTGTATAGGGCCCATTGTCAATTGTACATGAATTTAATCTCAATGAAGTTTAGAGGGGCAATCACCTGGATATAAAGTGGATGGAGGGCTAATGCCAGCTGAGGGCTTTTATTGTTATGGCCTCAAAAAGGGGCAGACAGGATTCAATGCCTGTGGGCAAGAGCTCAAGATGGCAAGGAGGCTTCAGGGCACCGGTCACAGTGGCATGGGCTGTTTTGCTGCCTGGCAGAGCCTGGGTTCACAAAATCCCATGGGTGATTCTGTACTCTGGACATTTTCTATATATTTGTGAGAAGCCAGCAAGATGTTGCAGGAAGTTTGCTTGGCATCCAGACCCAAAAATGATCAATACTAGGATTACAGAAGAAAGATGGAGCCTGAAAGACAGTGGCCAAGGTGGCTTGGTTCCCTCGCTTGCTCCTTTGCTGTGGTCGGTTAGAGGTGGGCACACTGGGACTTAGACCTTTGGTGGCACTGCTGCTGCTCAGCAAAGCCTGCCAACAGGAATGCTACAAGTTTCCTCTTTCCCTGAAAATAAGACACAGCAGGAAAATAATCAGCCTTGAGAATTAGACATCAAAAATGCCAGTCCTCCTGGCTTTGCCTTCCCTGATGTGTGCTTGGTGACTCCTTTGTAAGGCCAGGAGGGGCTGACTGGGGCTGGTATTTTTGATGTCTAGTTTTCATGGCTGTTATTTTCCAGCTAGGTCTTATTTTGGGGGAAACATGGTATAAACTATTTGATCTTCAGGATTGTGTGACTCAAAATAACTTTAGAAAGTTTTACCTAGTCAGCATGGTGGGCATGGGTGTCATGCCAGCACCCTGGGAGGCTGAGGCAGGGAAGTGCAAGTTCTAGCCCAGCCTGGGCAATTTAGTGGCAGTAAGGCTCAGTCTCAAAACACAAAATAAAGGCTGGGGATGCAGCTCAGTGTGAAGGCCTCCGGCTCAATCCCCAGTTCTTTCTTTTTTCTTTTTTGACCTTTTTGAGACAGGGTTTTGCTACACAGTTCAGGCTGGCCTTGTGCTCACTTTGTAGCTCAGGCTGGTCTTGAACTCGCAATGATCCTCCTGCCTCAGCCTCTTGAGTGCTGGGATTACAGATGTGCACCACCATGTCTGGCCAATCTCCAGTTCTATAGAAAAAACACAACAAAAAGCAAAAAGCAAAGATACTCTTTCCAAACTGTGTGTGTACCACACATAGGGTCTTTGTACTGAGTTACATACCCTGTCCTTAAATTTTAAATTCTGAGACAAGGACTCACTAAATTGCCCAGGCTAGAACCAAATTTACAATCCTCTCACCTTAGCCTCCCAGAGTACTAGGATTACAGGCTAACACGCCTATAAACTTTGTTTTTGGAGACAGAGTCTCTCTGTAGTTTAGACTGGCCTTGAACTATGTAGCCCAGGCTGACCTTGAACCCTCACAGCATTCCTCCTGTCTCAGCCTCCTGAGTCCTGTGATTACAGGCATGCACTATGCTCACTGGCACTTTCTATTTATTGGCAATTTCTCATGTAATGGGCACACACACATGCTTATGCACACAAACCCATTATATTTGCTTTCTCCCATATCCCAGAGTCCTTTGCTCTTTGCTAAAGCTGAGGAGGACAGTTAAGGACCACTGCACAGCAATGGAGAACAGGCTACCTCAAGGTCACCTGTGTGTGTCCTTTAGGACCCCCATGGAGAAACAAGCCTTTGGGAAGGAGAGTCCTAGGGAGGTACTCCAGGACAACTGCCTCACGCTGTACCCACAGTCTCTCCTCAGATGTGGTCTTGAATCTTAGGCCTTTAAATATGAGTGGCCCACTTCCTTCTGCCCCCCACAGGACCTGCCCAGATGGTTACTGTCCCCATCTCTGCCCCTACTGCAGACCCTCACTTTACTGTCCCAGGCTCCCAGCTTCTGGGGGCCCCAGGCTGCTGCTGACTGCCTGTAGCACAGAAGCTCAGGGTTCCCAACTCTGCTCTTTGCTGGACACCGTTAGGTTTGCTGTCACACATTTCTACCCTGTCCCTTTGTGATAGTGTTAGGAGGCGACCTCCAGCTCATGTTATGAAGAGTGTCCCCAGTGGGCCTCACAGGTCACAGTCCTGGCTCCCAGCCTGAGCCTCCAGGCTCTGCGCCCCCGCACCCTCCACCTCTGGCTTCTTCCCCATCCCAGCTTCCCCTCCCTTCAGGAACAGAGCATCTCCAACCACAATCCTGTGACCTAGGTCACTAGCTTCCCTGGATCCCAGACCTCACTTGTGCAGCAGCCCTCCCAGGGGGAGGAGCCTGTCCTGTGTGTCCTCGCAGCTTGCCCAGTTCGGCCTGTCTTTCGTGACTCATGTGCTGATCTGTCATTCTTGATGGATGTTATGACCCTTGCTGACCAAGGCCACATCAAGTACAATTTGTTCTTGTGTCCCAAGTGCCTAACACAGTGGCGATGAACCTGTGGCATGCATGCAACAGAGGGCTATTTATATCAATGAAAGCTCTAAAAAGTTCAGCATCAGTGGTCTAATGCATAGGTACAAAACTAATAGCCCTTGGCTCCTGGGAGGCGATGGCTTCCGGTGGGACACAGGTGACCAGGTAGTTATACAAAGCAAAGTTAAGGGGAGGAGGCCAGGGATCAGAGCCACGACATATACACTTTATTTTATTGATTTATTTTCAAGACAGATCTTCCCAGGTTGCCTGGTGAGACAGAAGTGATCTCACCACCTCAGCCTCCCAAGCAATTGGAACTATAGGCATGGGCCACTGCACGCAGGTAAGATTCCTACATTTAAGGGCCAGGGAGATAGCTCAGTGGCATACGTGTCTGCCTGGCAAGTGCAAGGTCCCGAGTTTGATCCCTGATACCACAAAAGAAAAAAAAAAGATTTCTACATAAAAAAATAGATATATACATATATACAGGCATGTAAATGCCTGCATACACACACACACACACACACACTCTCCAGGCTCAGGGCCAAGAGGCCCTAGGAGGGAGTCTGTCCTCCTGCAGTTGGCCTCTCTGACCCTCTACTGTCCCAGCCAGAGTTCTTCTGGAGCTCCTGGAAGAACAGCTGCTGCTGGAGGCTCCTCAGGGTCTGCAGATCCTCAGGAGACAGTTGGTCAGCTGGCTTCTGCAGGTCCCGATCCTCCTCCTCCTCCTCCTCCTCTTCCATTTCCGCAAGCCCATCTGGGGGCTGCGGGGAGCTCCTGGAGATGTAGCCTTGGTCAGACTGCACGGACTGCCGCTGCTCCTCTTCGTACGGCGTGCAGGGGCCCTTGAGAATGCCGACAGGTTCCTCCCACTCCACCTGGGCCTGGCTGCCCAGACTCTGCTGCAGGAGCGAGAACATCAAGTCTTCTAGCTGCGCCCTCCCACCACCCCGGTGATCAGGCGATGCCACTGGAGTGCTGCTGAGAGGTGAGTCCTTGGGGTCCTCGGGTAGGAAGAGGACACTGTTCCGCCGTGGGCTGCTGTCCCCCAGCAGCGGGCAGGCCTCACCCGCTACCACAGCCAGCCGGCTGACTGGGTTGCTCCCAACGGCGAGCCGGGCTGGTTCCACTGCGAGAGCTGCAGGGACCTGTTCAACAGGCAGCACCAGGGTCCTCAGGGGCCCGGCCTCCAGCTCCCCCACAGGCTGTAGCTTTGATGCTCGCCCTCCTTCCTCAGTGAGGCTTATATCTACCACCAGACAGCCCTCGGGGGCGGGTTCTCTCACCAGGGGCTTCTGCCTCACAATTCCCTCCCCTGGCAGCAGCAGTGGCTCTTCAAACACCTCTTCATCCAGGGAAGAGAGGTCCTGGTCATCAGGCGAGTGAAGGCTCTCACGCTCAAACCAGTCAGGACACTGGATCTGCCACTCTTGGAACCTGTCCACCGCCTCCTTGAGCTGCCTCCCACTGAGGCTCTGCGGGTAGCTGTCTTCTGCCAGCTCCTTGACGCGGCACATCTGGCCGGGCTCAAACATCTCCAGGTCCTGGATCCGGAAGTACACTTCCTCGAACTTGTCCATGAGAGGGTACCTTGAGGTGATGTTGAAGAGGTCGGGGATGTCATTCTCGCTGCTGATGCCGGTGAAGTAGCAGATGATGTAGGTGCCAAAGCAGGCTGGCTTCTTGAAGTCAGGCAGGATCATGTTCATGGCTGCTGTGAAAAGGTCCCCAGCAGGCTTCCGGTGGTCACACCGCAGCTGGATGGCAGCTTCCTCCCAACCCAGGATAGCCTGCCACTTGGCCCGGGTGCCTCGGGAACAGAGGATGATGATTTTGGAGTTACTCTCTACCATTTCCTGCTTCTGGCGGCCCACCCAAGTCATCACCCCCACCTCCGAGATGACCTGCTCTTCTAGGAGGTCAAGGGCCACTTCAGTGCCACAGGCAGTGATCAGGAACTGGGCAAACTTCAAGACCACATCCACGTAGAGAGGGTGGTCAGCTGAGTAGACGATCCAGACCTTCCTGGGCTTCAGGGGTGGGGGGCTCGGGGAAGCCACTGGCGGGGCATCTAGGGGAAACGGGAGTGAGGCCACACGCAGGGTCCTGGCACCCAGGCAGGCTGTGTCCCCTGCTGGCCAGCCCCTGAGGGACTGGGACCAAATGCACAGCCTGGCTGCTTAGTCTGAGGAGAAGCGGACTGGTGTGCCTCTTGTGAAAAAGGATCTCCCTGGCACATTCCTATGCAGGCTTTAGCCTGTGCTTTAAGTACAAGAAGAAAAAAAGGCACAAGACCTGCCTGCAGATTAGAAATGTCTGCCAGGAAGGACTTTTCTGTTTTTGTCTTTTCTAAACAAATATGGCACGCTCAGCTTCCTTTCCTTAGAGAGGTACCTGAGCAACTGAATACTTGGTATAGCAGGGCACCCTGAGAGTCCTCTTTGTGGGGTGCTGGAACGCTTCTGAAGGGCACTGAAGAGGTGCCTGGTGGGACCCACTCATCTGTCTTGAGAACCCGCTGCCCACCTTTAGAAACACATGCAAGAGCAGACAAGCCCGGGGATACTGACCGGTGTCTTTGGCGCTGTTCCCATGCTTCCCATGACGAGAGCCTGAAAGGAAAGAAATGTGGTGGAGTGGCTCAGCAAGGACCAGCTCATGGTGTGTATGCAGGAGCACGGGTCCACCCTGACATAGGACTAAGGACGAGGGGCTGCGCCCTGCGGAGGTCGCGAGAGGCTTCCGGGCCTCTGTAGGCCCGTGTGCTGGGTCTGCCGTGACCACTTGTACAGTGTGGGAAGGTTCCTGCTGCCTTGAGGATCCAGCCCTTCCTCCGTGAAACAGGTTGGGGGAGCAGTGGAGAAGAGGAGGCCTGGGAAGGGCCCGCACACCCTGCGAACTCGGCCAGCTGGGGTCCCTGTGGTTATTTTGTGGCAATGACCAGCTGGTTCCCAGATTAGGGCTGGAAGTTCCTCCTAGGCCCCTCATCACAGTGCCGGTCCCTGACCGGCCTGCGCTTTGGCTCTTGTGAGCCGACTACAGTTGATGGAAAGCTCTTCCTTGAGGTGTCCATGTGGGACACACCAGCTCACGAGGCTTCTCTCCACAAGCAGCATGCCAGGTCACTTACAAAACTTCCTCCTGACATTTCTGAGGCAAGGCAGGGGAAACCCACACGCTGAAGCAACCGTCCCTTCAGACGTGTGATGAAAAAAGCTGTGTGGAGGAGTTAACTTCCCTGGGGCAGTCGGGATACAGAATCCACAGATGACCACGCCAGAGATTTGTGTGTTGTTTGCTTTATGTGGCCATGGTCCCCAGGCCCTCAGGCAAAGTATGTGCAAGTGGTCCACTTCTAAGCTACGGCCCTAACCCTAAGCAGGAGATTCATACATTTATTTATTTATTGTCCTTTTTTTGGGTACTGGGAACTGAACTCAAGACCTCGCACTTGCCAGGCAGGCGCTGTGCTGATGAGTCGTATCGCTATGCCGTTCAGGCTGGTCTTGAGCTTACTTTGTAGCTCAGACTGGTTCCAAACTCCCAGAGATCATCTTGCCTCAGTCTGCAAGTTCTGGGATTACTGGCATGAGCCACCAGGCCCAGCCTAAGCAGGAGATTTAGAATCTGAATTTCAACCCTCACTCTTTGGGCCTTTTCTAAAACTGCTAGACAACCATCTAAGGTATGGTGAGGTGGCTGGGTGTGATGGTGCATAATCCCAGCATTCTGGGAGGCTAAAGCAGCAGGACCAGCCTGGGCAACTGAGCAATTTAATGAGATCCCATGTCATAAAAGGGGGGAGGGGAGATACTGGGGCTGCAGCTTGGTGGGAAGGTCCTACATTCTATTTCCAGTATGGGGTAAAGACAAACAGTGACGTGTCCCTGCCTGGGTGTGGGGCAGCTCAGGAAAGGTCACAGGTGCAATAGCAGCTCAGGCTGGAGGTCGGTGGTACAGCACTTGCCTGGCGTGCATGAAGTCCTGGGCTTAACCCCAGCACCGAAAAGGAAGAGCGCAGTAAGAGGAGAACCTTACAGATTATAAAGTACTAGCTGTGAGGTTATTTGACCCTTCCAATAATCCTCGGGACACAATAAAAATCCTAGCTTCCCAGACAATTGAAGCCACAGCCTGGAGTCACAGAAGAGCAGGCAAGGACTGACAGGACTCATGTTCTCCCTGACCAGACTCTGGCCAGCAGAGCAGTACTCAGGGAGGGAACTGCTGCTACCCATTCCCACCAGCACACACCTTGCCCATCTCAGTTAATTCTTACTGCACCCCCGAGAGGGAGGCATTACAGCAGTACCCCATTTTTCAGAAAGGAGAAACCAAACCTAAGGTTTGTTAAGTGACGCTTAAAGCTAGTAAGGCTGAGAGGAGGGCTACACGAGAGCTCGGGGCCCAGGGCTGGAGCCTCTCCACCCCTCCCTGCTACTCCCCATTTTCTCCCTGACCTCACATGTACAGATCTGGAGGCTGCAGGAGGGGGTTGTTCAGGCTGCTCTACCTGTCTGACTGATCGATCATTCCTCATGTAGGGATATCCTCGCCAGCTCCTTCCACCCTGTTGATTCTAATACTCTACCACCAATTTTAATAGCAATAGTTGGCTGACAGCTACTGAGCAGACGCCACATCCCACTTCCATGCTAAGAATTTATGCACATGTTCCACTAAACCCCCAGCAGGACCCATATGGTGCGGACACCATGATGCCAGTGTCCTGCCATCTTGCACAGGACACTCCCGAGGCCCTGGGCATCAAGGCACGCGCCCAGGTAGTCCGCGGGGAGGTGGTCCTGGAGTGCAGGCTGGCCCGATGCAGGCTGTGAGTTCCCAACACCCGAGTAACTGGTACGCAGTGATGGGCCGCGTGTTGGCTAAACCTGATGCCACGGGGCTGGGCTGGTGGGTGCCCTCTGAGCACAGGTTACTAACGGCCATGGTCTGGGGCTGGGACTGGAGCAGGAGAGGCGCAAAGGTGGCCCAGTCGCAGGCCCTTACCTGGCAGCCTCCACGTCAGGCAGAGGATCACCAGGATGACTGAGGCCACCAGCAGGATGGAGATGCCCGTGATGAAGATGTAGCCCCACAGGGGTATGCGATCTGTGTGGGCAGAGTGGCGTGAGACTGACGGGGCCAGTCCTGCCCCCACTCCACGATCCCCGCTCCCAACTCTGGGCTCTGCCATCTGGCCTGTGCCCGACTCTGGTAACCTCACCCCCACAGGGTTGGTGCAGGTTCAGCTCTGTCTAGGTGGTTCAGCTGGGGATTCCTGGGGCAGTGGGGGTACCCTGGGGGATGGGTCCTGACACTGGGCGAAGGACAGCTGAGCTTACCTGCAATGGAGGCTGCCAAGGATAGAAGGAAAAAGAGAAAACACTTCTTAATCATTAGCAGCCACAACAAAACCCATCCCTGATGGCTACTGAGGCTGTAGTGACCCTGAGCCTGCACCCTGCACTCCAGATAGGGGCCACGTGTGATGTGACCCTACACCAGCACCTTTAGCTGCAGGTCTAAGAACGCCTCCCCTCCTGCTGGGGAGCTGGGTTCACTCCTAGACTGGGCCACACTGGCCAGATCTGATCGGTATGGGAACTAGAAGCAAGTGGCTTCTCAAGAAGTCGGTGGTAGCCAGGGGAAGGAGCTAGCTGTTGTCCCCCACAGGCTCAGGTAGAAATGTGGGGCCCGCCATGTCCTTGGCATATGCGACCTTGGACAAGCCGTTTCACAGGCCTGTTTCCCTTTCTGTGAACCCGGGGTGGGGGCCATCTCTGTTTCACAGTACTGTAACTCTGTGTGAGGACGAGTATTGTTCTGTGACAGTAATCATCCCACTTTCTAGTCAAGGGTGAATACTCTGCCCAGAGCCACCCAGCCTGTGAGAGGTAATCAGGAAACCCCTGTGGGCTTGGTGCTAAACTCTGCTTCAGGCAGGAATCCCTTCAGGTTAAATGAACACCTCCTGCCCATTCCTAGGACCAGGCCAGGCTTCCACTCAAGTGGGCTGCCTTCCCCATGCACCCCCGAGACATCCCACCTACCTGGGGTCGGTGGCATTTCTGGGCAGTCAATAGTCACAGAATATCTCAGACAGTCATTCAGGCAGGTGCTAAAGAAGGGCTGGACCTGTGAGAGCAGAGGAGGCGCAGGGAAGAGGGGCTCTGAGAGGGAGGCGGGGCCATGTCCACCCAGGTCTCCCGGCCAGCAGAGGCTATTTGGAAGGAGTGCACCTTGGCTGAGGGTACAGTTCTCTCATGGTGAGAAGGGGTTACGGGAGCTCTACGCAGGTGAAGCTGGGAGAATGGGGAGGCGAACGCAGAGGAAGCATCTCGCCAGCCAGGGAACCCCAGATGCAGCAGCACTGGGTATGTAGAGAGCTCAATCTGTTAGCAGGAAGGTTTTCCCACACTGGCCTGCACCGCACTGCCTACCTGCACCCGGTGATGGCAGCACCAGTCAGGGTGCTGAAGATGGACTGTGATGTTGGTCCGCTGGTGGAATTCCTCCGGTCTGGGCTGGAAAGGAAATGATGGGGAGATGGGTTGAGCAAAGACTTCCTGAGCATCCCCACGATGATACTCTTGGGACCCAACCCTCTGTGGACCAGTGCATGCCACAGAAGGGCAGAGCAAGGAATGCATGTGAGATTTCTGCAGGGCGACTGGTTTTTGTCAGATCACAAGCTTGTGTAGTAACTGGTCATTTCCCCTTGAGCTTTGCCACGAATCTATGTTCATACCAGCAGGAGTACCGACAATAGCAGATTTTCTGCATTAACCTGGTTGCATTTTATTTCTTAATCTCCCCTTAGTATTTTTGGTGGAACTGGGGATTGAACTCAGGCCCTTGCACTTGCCAGGCAAGGGCTTATTCTACTGAGTTATCTCCCCGGTCCCTCCCCTTGGTCTTAATCACTACATTTTTTTCTTTCTTTTTTAAAATTTTCAAATCCCTTTTGGAATAAGGTAGACATAGTCAAATAAAAGGAGAACAGGGGACTTTGGGGGGGAGGGAAGAGCAAAGACTGGGGTGGTGGGCAGGACACAATCAACTCTATTTCATAACTAGAGAATCAGGTACAAGGTGGGGTCCCCTGTGTCTCAGCAGGATGGAAGTGGACGAACTCCACCACTGTGCCTGATGCTCTGAGCTTGTGCCAACATGGTTCTTCCAGGGCTGGCAGAGAGGAGGCCTGAGGCTTCTACAGGAGGCTTTGAACTGTGGCAGCGTAGTTAAGGAAGTGGCAGAGAATGCGGGAGTGGTGGTGCACCTGTAGCACCAGTGCTCAGGAGGCTGAGGCAGGAGGGTTGTGGGTCTTAGGGTGGCCTAGGCAACTCAGTGAGACCCTATATCAAATTTAAAAAAAAAAAAGGAAGGGAGGAAGAAAGGCAGGAAGAAAAAAAAAAAAAAAAAAAGGAGGGAGGAGGGACAGTAGAAAGGAAGGCAGGCATGGGCAGCGCTGAATTACCGCAGGTATTTGCAGTACATTCTCGAAGCAGCTGAGGTCCTCAGTGCGTGGAAAGCTGTTGAGCAGGAGCTGGTAGTGGGTGGATTCGTTCCACAGGGTGAAGCTCACCCGGAGCTGACTGGCCTGTGGGCTCTCCACAGTGATGTTGGGATCCCACAGGCTGCCTGCAAGGGCAGACATGGGCTGGGAATGAGAAGGGGCGTGCGTCCCCATGCATGCATACGCACGTGTGTGCACCCGGCCTTGCTCTGCTGCGCACCCTGGCGCCCCATGCTGTGCGCCCCGGGAAATTCTCCTCAGCCAGTTACCTGAGCTCAGACAAGATGTGGTCATCTTCATCTCGGGGTCCTTGCAGTCTGCCGTTTCAAAGAAAGAAACCATTAGGTTTCTGCCTTGGGAAGCCTGTCCTTCCAGGTTCCTGACACCGGGGCCATAGCCCCTTTGCTTCTGGGGAGCCTGCGCTGATGGCCCTGTCAGCATGACTGGGGCACCCTGGCGGCTCTGTCCTCCTCTCCCAGGATACCTCCTGACCTAGCATATTCTTCCCACACTCGTGCTGGGAGGCCCCAGAGGCCTGGTCCCCTCCAGTTGCTCCTCCCCAGGCCTGCAGCTTCGTCACCAAGGTGGCCCTTGCCTTCTCCGGGCTGTCTCCATCAGCCTCCATGGGTCCTGGTATTCCCTCATCTCTTGACTCAGCAGATCCGAACTAAGATGGTCTAACAAATCCATCTCAGACCCTGCAGAGGCTGCTGGCCCCTGGACTGTGCCTGGGGCCAAGGATCCACTGTTATAGTCCTGGGCCCGCTTCTCCCGTATCTTTGGCCAAAAGGTTTTTATTTTGGTGTAAGAAGGTTATGTGGCAGGTGTGAGTCACTGGGGAAGGACAAGGGCTGGGTCAGTCTATTTTAGGGACAGGAGGAGGCTGTGTTGGGAGACTTAGCCATTCACAAAGGATGTATATAGCCATTCTGTGCTGTCTTATGCACAGCATAAGAATGGTGAGGAAGATCCTGAGGGAGGCCAAGTTCTTCCCACAGGGCCCTGTTCTTCCCAACCTGGCTCATCTTCCCCATATTTCCTGGGCTGAGACAGAGGGAGAGGCTGGCTCCCAGCGAACCCCTGGGGTCCTGGGCCCATCTCCTGGGGGTGCTAATGGAGAACAGGCTCTGCCAGGAGAACCTGTAGTCCTACACCGAGGGCTCCCAGGTCCTGGCATCTGTGCTCTTTGCGGGCACCATGCCAGGCCAATGGAAGCCATCGCTGAGCTGAGCGACACCTACTGGTTTCTTCTCCCAGGCTTGGCGGCTGCACTCACCAGGCACGTGGACATTCCTGGACAGGTGGTTTGGGTCCCCGTCAGGGACGGGCTTTGGCAGGTGGTGAACAGTCACTTCATACTCCTGGCCAGGATCAACCACGAAGTGGTCAAAGGTAAAATGCCACTGAAGAAAAGAGAGAAAGGCATGTTGCAAGAGTCACATACAACCCTGTCTCACCCACTGTGTGCAAAGAACCTTACTGCCATCTAGTCTCCCCAGAACAATCAAAACTGGAATAAAGCAGCCACTACAACAGAATCTGAAATCAGGACACTGTAGCCTTATCCTTTATTTCCTCCACTCTTTCTTTCTTTCTTTCTTTCTTTCTTTCTTTCTTTCTTTCTTTCTTTCTTTCTTTCTTTCTTTCTTTCTGTGTGGCCAGCTCAGCCCACCAGGGGGC